CGCTTTTTCAAATTTAATGTATTAGGAATTTTGTGTAAAAACGCCACGATTTAATTACACTAGTCATGACACATTCACCATATTATTGATAAAATCTACATTATTACGAATAAAATTGATTTTTTAAATTAATTTGATTTTAATATAAATAAATTTTAAAAATCACAATCTATAACATCATAATTATGACAGTAGACACGTGAACAGATACTTTATATAATTAATTTGTAATAAAATATTTATTTATGAAGAATTGTAATTAAATATTTATTGACTTAGTTTATTTGTTATTATTTCTATAATTCTCTATGTTTGTATGAACATTAATAGATTTTAAATAATTATATCTATAAGTAAATTAAAATTTTTACTATAATACAATCAAAGATAAGGCTATAATATATAGTACACAAGGGAATAAGCAAAAACTATTTTAATGAGTGGGAAACTAAATACTATATATTCATAATTATTTAATAATTTATTACTTACTAATCTTAAATTATAAGAAAATTTCAATCTTATTTAATATATAATAAATGTATTATGCCTATAAGCATATAAAAATAGATAACGTTATACAAAATATTTATACAAATTATGAATAATGTATGTTATAGAAATATCCTTGTTAAAACATCCTTTTCTTGTTTTTTCTTTTCATTTTGTATTCTTTGTGAATAAATAGTCTAAAAGTTTTCATGTAATTATTATAATTTGATAAAAATCTCGATAATGCTTTAATTTTAGTTTTTGTTCGACTTGTTGTTGTACTTTTCTTTCTTTTTACTTTCCATTAAATTAGTTTTGTTAGTGCGCAATATTTTATTAAAACAAAAAATAAAAATCGATAATTTTAATTAAATGATGACTCCATATAAACACAATACTATAACAATATGGTATGACAGTATTACAAAAATTTAGTTCAGTAATAACATACCATACAAACTCTCATAATAAACACGGGAATTCCAAACAAAATGAAGCCATAAAAAAACTAATTTAATTTTTAATATTGTTGTAGCTGCAACATATAGTACAATATATAGTATAACAATAAAAGTATAACAATAATTGCAATTATAATATTTTAATCTTTAAATATTTAAGTCTTTAAATTTTTAAAGTGAACTATTGAAATTTCTTAAATTACTTAAATTTTTTTATTTTTATTAAGTATGTTGCTAGGTTTAAAGTTCCTTTAGACTAGTGTTATAATATATTCTAATATTATAACAGTTTCTTAGCTTTCTTCATAGTATAACAGTTTCAAAATTGTATAATATTTATTCCTAAATTCATTCTGTTATTTTAGATAACTTGAATTATGTAATGAATTTTGTGAGAGTTTTAATTTCATTCGATGAAGAGAGCAAAAAGAGGATAATTATTTTTAGTTTATCTGAGTACATTCTATTATCTGAGATTCCGAAATACTATTGAAAAATTTATGCGACAAATATGAAAATAAAATTTTTAACCAAAAAGTAAGTCGCGTGATTAAGGACCTCATTTACATAGTTTGGAAAATGTTTCAATATACCTGTGACTACTTCATTCTATGTATAGAATAAATGCAGATTAATTTTCCATTTAGAGAAAGCCCATCTACATAATTTATAAAAAAATTCTTTGATTAACCACCGAAAAATATTTTCGGTGATTAATGTGGAACTCCAAATATTGATTTCATATCTTCCTTTACATTTTTAAGGGAAAGAGAATATGTTGAAGTTACAATACAATTTTTTATAAAAAGAAAAGTATGACAAACAATTTTTTCTTGTTTTTATAAAAAAATTAATTAATTTACCCCTTTAATCTTTTCTTATGACATCATAGACTTTTAATAATAAAATATTCTCAAAGTAGGTGTACAAAATTACAAAAAAATAAAGAAAATTTGATTCTTTTTAAAGATACATGACTAAAGTACAAAATCAATAAAGGTAAAAATAATTGCAGAACAGACATGTTGTGTCCTTGAATGTTTTAGTGAATCATATTGTATTCGTAACAAAAATAAATGATTTTTATGACCTTTGGACATGATCCAGACTATAAAATTACAATACACAAAAAAAGGACACTTGGTTTTATGTTTTTTTTTTGTTTTTTTTTTCTAATCTGCTCATAAATATTTTTAATTAATTTCTCTTACCTTGTATCATAAAAATAAATTTTTGGTTTTTACACACAAATTAGTTCAAGTTCTCTAATTGCTTTAAAAAAATCTTAGATAATTATCATTTAATATGTTTTTAGGACTATAAAGCCATTCGTTTAAAAACTAATAAGAAATTAAGTACTATTTCAAGATCAAAAACTAAATTTGATACTGAAATAATATATACAAGAATTTTGTATTATATGAAGCTATAGGCAGTATAGCAGAGAGAGTAGTCCTAATCTGCATGTTCCCTAAGCATATAGGCGTGTACGGTAACGAGAGAGTATAAGTTTCTTCGCAAAGAAAGCCTAGTACGAACTCTTTCTTATATGCAATCACAACAAAATTAATCTGATAATAATAGAAATATGGTGAAACTGGTGGTTCGACGGCATGACCAGTTCTGGGAGAGGCAGTTGAGAACGCTGTTGCTAACAAATAAAAATAATTTTGTCATTTTTTTTTTTATAAAACTCCAAACACTACTTGAAACTTTTCATAAATTGAGAATTTTAAACACAACCACGGTGTATTGTTTTCTCTTTTCGGTTTGTAACATATCTTTACTTCCATTTAATTAAATTTTCAATTAATATCTGCAATATACATACGTATACAAAAAATTTGTTTGCAATTTTATTTTAAAATCATTATAGGCACTAAAAAAATATTTATATATATGAAAATTTTTTAATGAAAAATTCAATAGTTGTTTGCTTTTATAGTTTTTTTAATGAATATATACGAAAAAATCCTGGTTAAACACTGAAATATAATAGCAATATACCATCTAGCATCTGGTTATATTCTCATTAAAATTGTATGCTAGTATTTGATTTATAATTATTATTAGTTGAACGTCAACACCACCAAACCAAAAAGAAATAAAATCATTAACATCGAATAAAATTTACAAAAAAATGTCGAAAACACATACACATAGTACAGAATAAAAAGAAACTGTAATTGTGTTTTCTAAATGAGCTGAAACGAAAAAGAACAGTTGAATGTTTATTCAAAGGCACTAGATTTAATCAGAAATTGACTTTTTCTAGATTTATGTTTGTATATTTGGGGATGACTGCAATTTAAAATGGAATCCGCCTCTAGAGATTTAAAGGTTAATATAAGCGCATTAAAGAAAAGAAAAATTCTAATATGTAGATTGTAGATTACTGAAAAGAGATATGGGCAAAGGAACTCCTCCTAAATCCAATTGCTCCTAATGCCTAACATTGAAGAGGCCTTGATGAACAAAAGAGATCTCAGATCCCCAACTTTTCAATAGTTTGGTTGTCCTTGTGCGCGTGGGCCCCGGTATAAAATGATCGCAAAGGCTAGTCCGGGGAGTACAACTACTGAAGTGTTCCCAATTTGGCCTTACACGTACCTGTTCCACTTTGCGGCACCACGCCACGGGCACCAGGCTTAACAAGAGCCATGTTTAGCCACACTGCTACCCTAGGACTAACGCCCCAAGTTTTGCCAGCAAAACACCTGTACATCCGCAAGGCCATCGATGTTTTTTCTATAACCCTATCAATATAAGAATTCCAGGAGAGGTGATCATTTAGGGCTACCTAAATGTATATCATTTAGCACCGATTCAATTACAAAAGGGGTAATAGGTAAGCATGCTGTATAGGGCTGGCTTGTTTTGTTATTGAATAAAGCTATGCTGTTGTGGTTAGGCAGAGATGGGTGCTACTTGACTATCCTTAATTCCTATTTTGACATAAAAATGCATACATCAGGACCCCTAAGAGGATTTCAGGCTTTTAACTTGATGTTGCTCCCCTGCCTTAAAACCGTCATTATGTAAAGGGTTTCGATTTGGATATAAATTCCACTATACGTTTTCATGGTTCTTAATAAATTTAGAGTGCTTCAAAATTATATCTATTTCTAATGGAATCAGTTTTCTTTCATTTGTTATTTATTAAAATTTTTTATAAACATTATTAAAACAAAATATAAGTAAAATAAATCATGATATCAACATTTTCTCTTAATGATGGCTTTGGTTTCAGTCACATTTTAAATAAATTGCCCCACATAAATATTTATTCACATTACAGAAATTGTAGAAGCTCTATTGTGGTGTACATCTTTTGTCCATTCATGCGTTCTATTATTGATTTTGTATCCTACATAGAAAGTAAAGTGGCTTATATTAAGTGCCAATCACCTTTATAAAATAATAATTGAAGGATTGTATGCAATTCTATTTTTGACAAATGAAGGAAGCATTAATTACGGACTCATCTATATTTTAAAATCGTACTTTGAGTATTATAAAGTGCCAATTAACAACTAAAAAACAAATAGAAATTTTTTTATTAAAATTATTAACTGGTTTAGAACAATATTAAATTTTTTGAATATTTATTACGAATACCTGAAAAGGTCTAAAATTGTAATGGATTGAGATATTTTTTAAGTGCCAATATCCTACTTTCAAAGAAAAAAAATTTAACTTTTTTTTTATTTTCACGCCGGATATTAAAAACGACTGAATTGTAAAATTTTCTTTTTTATATTTCGTTTCTTGTTTCTGTTTTTTCTTAATAAGCATGGCAAATAAAATTTTCCAATGAAAATTTTGGAATTTTCCACCCATTTGTATTTTATTGTGTGGGAAAAGCTTTTAAAGTGAATTATTTTAACACATTGTTATAATTTTGTTTATTATCAGAAATATTAAATGAACTGTTATTTTATAATAAAAAAAACCTTATAACCTTATTTGCTTAAATTAAATTTAGGAAATTCTATTATAATTTTAAAATTTAAATTAAATTTTTATTTTATATTTTTATACTTACAGGTAAGCGGTGGTCTTAGTTTTGAATGTTGTTGTCGGGTGAAATTTTAAATAGGGCACCATTGAGCGTGGCTATATTACCGCCACCCTCATTGATTGAACTTTGTAAAGCAATGGCGGCTATTGCCACACTTGCAAGTTCACAAAATATTGACGATGATGATATATTTTTAGGTAAGAAAGAAATTTTATTATAAATTTTTATTCTATATTTAAAATTATTATTTTTCACTAACAAATAAAAAAAAATTTTAGAGTGAAAAATTGAATAAAATTGGTATTATTTATTAAATTGGCGGCCATTACGACAACAAATACCATACTCATTAATATTGTAAAATTATTAACTCTTAACAACCCTAGAATTAATAGTTTTTACACAAGCATATGAAATTATTAAAAATATTATTACTCTGATTGTGATGACAATAATACTCACTATTATTGCCATCATAGTTTATCTATGTTGGAAGGAACTTAAACTGTTTTGTTGTTGTGGTTTACCATTTTTGTTTGTAAGTAAGATTTCTTCAGAATATTAAGTTTCATTAACTTTAATTAACTGTACACTCAATGGAAAATTTAATGCTTTATTATCCATAGATGTGTTAATTTTATTTAGTATTCCCATAATATATTATTAAAAATATAATTAAAATGAGCGAAAACTGTACCTACGGGAACATTCATCAATATATAGTAAAGTTTTATTTAATAAATTACGAAATTTTAATATTAAATTTCTTCTGCTCGATTCAAAATACTTTCACTCCATTCTCAATTTCATTATTTATATTCATAGTTTCCTTGCAAACATCCATAATAATATTTTTTTATTAGTATATTCCACACAATTTCATCCAATTAGTACGCTATTAGAATGCCAAAAAAATTCCATTTTAAAGCGATTAAACAGTGTTGAATGAGACCAAACCAGAAAAGTTTTATAATTTTGTTTTTTAATTAAAAATTATATTGGCTGAAATAACTGTTTCTAAAATTTCTTAAAATTGCTTGAATTTTTAAATAAAATAAGACCGAAAACTTCTTCTTAAGACTTTATCAAAACGAGAAATTCTATAAAGCTGCAAAGCAACCAAAGGTAGCATGTATTTAAAAATACCAGATTTAACTGTACTTTTAGTTTAAAAATCCGCTAGTACACCGTTCGATCGAACAATGCCGCTTTACCATCAGAAAGCAATGGTGCAGTTTTTATATCCCTTTTCTGAAGTCTTTCTGGGGCAGATCTCAATTGCATGTTTTTCTCTTTAAAACAATAAGCAATATGGGTACAGATTCGTTTTTTAAGGCATGTCCGCCGCACTTCATACATGCGCGCTCCCACACCCGAGGTCGTTTTCGAGCCATCAGTGTATCATACGCCAGAACCAAACCGAAAACGTTACCCTGTACCCATAGGCCGCGATCAGAAGACAAAACTTAGCTTTCGACGAAAGCCCTATGAGTGCCAGACCAATTATTTCTCTAGATCATTATCACCAGCGAGAAATGGACAAATTGTTAGCAGAGCTTGCCGTACAATGTGGAGCTGCAATGGCGCCAGACCAACAAATGCTTACAGAGTAGCTTTGGTGTTCAGCCGCCTTGCTCAAATCACTCCCAAACAAGCCATTATCTGAAACTTCCTCAACTTGACCTGCAGACCCACCAGCTCCACCTTGCAGCACTTCACCTAGGACACAGAGCTACCCTGGGACTAATACACTAAATTCTGTTACAGAAGGTCAGAGATCATGCTCTCAAATTTTCTCCGGGCGAAAAAACCTTTCACAATCAGCACATTATATATTTATTCTCTTTCAAATGTAAACATATACTGTTGTTCTATACAAACTTTATAAAAATAATAATTTCATCACTATAACTGCGAAAGCATAAATGTTTCATCACCAATATATGCTAATGTTATAATTCCGAAAGGAGAACTTAAATATAACGTACGAACACATAAACCGCATAAAATTAGAAAAAAACACTTCGTTTTTTTACGATTTTAAATTTTATTAAAATGCCATCATAATCGTATAATTATATCGTGAAAGAAAAATCTCATGACATAATTTTATAATTAAAACAAAAAAACAAAAAGAAAACACGCAGAAAAAAATAAATGAAACAGCGTGCTATAAAATTTTAAGGAGATCTTTTCTTTCTTTAATTTTTATTTTTGTTTTTAATAAAGAAAATAATAAAGTGAATAAAAAAGGTTTAAAATTTTTGTGAGAAAACATTTTTTTAATGCTCATGATTGGGTATTTTAAAGTTTTTGAAAAATTGAGTTTAAATTTTATTTGTATGTGTTTAAATGTAACTGTTAATTTAGAAATTTTTGTTCCTTTTTTGGTATTAAACTTGATATATATTTTGTAGTAACCCGTGGAGTAGGTGTAGTACAACTGTTGCTCTATTAACTTGTTGATTTTATGATATAACAACAGCGTTTATATATGCTATTATATATATACCTATAGATATATTTTGGAAATTTTAAATTGGTTACATTTATTATGATATTTAAGTTTTAAATGAGTGTGAAAAGTATGCATCTAGATTTTAGACTGTTTATATACAATATAATAGTTTTATGGCCAATTATATCTCACACAATATGTATATATAATTAATGTATTTTTAATATTTCACTTATGTATTATACATTTCGTTATAAGTATCTGTATGTAAATATTATATTTGAATATTAATTTTCTCGGTTGTAAATAAATGATTCGGTAAAACTAATATTAACTGTACATAATATGCATAAATAGCCCTATATTATGTCACATTAATTTAATCGTAAATTTATAATATAACTGTTCATTTATGCCAATTGAAGTAATTTATTTATTTTTCTACCATAATTTCTTAATTAAAAGGACAAAAGAGAAATATTAATTTAAATTTAATTGTTAGAAATTTTAGTTAGGTAAAATTAATTTTTATTAAACACTAGTTTCTTTTAGTGAAGATAAACTCAGTGTGATTTTTGGCACATTCTGTTTTTATCGGTTGTATATAACACCTAGATTGAGAAATCAAATAATTACACAAAAATTGGGTTAAAATAACTGCTGACTTTTAAAGAATTGACTTACCATTGAAAATAATCGTAGTAATATTCGTTTTAATAACAAAATATGCTGCATAATTTTTCTAATATAAGTTATACTTTGATATTTTTTATGAGTAAACTTTATAAATTTAATTTCCTGCCCTCTTCCTTCTTTATTTCCTGTCGTGTGTTTCGTGTATTGGACGTTTTAATTTTACGATAGTTTTTTTAAAGCATTTTTCCTTTTCTATTGTATTTATTAAAATTTTACTGTCTGTTTCTTTTCTTCAAAACATGAATCTTTATTATTCATAAATTGTGGAAAATGAATTTTAATGAATTTTTTGGCGACAGTTGTTTTCATAGTTTTTTTTCTTCTTTAGTTTTAATTTTGCTTTATTTATATTTGTATGATTTTACGAGAAATCACACGAAAAATTAGAAAATAGTTAAAAAAAAAATTAAATTTGAATGAGTTTTGAAAAGAATAGACATTTATACGGTAATTAGGTTATAATACGTAAATATTGCATATTTATAGGCAATAACAGTAATTATATATTAGTAAACTTTTGCTGTATTTAGTTCTACTTATTTTATTTAACAATGTGGTTTTCACATTTTCTAATCACCATCTTTGAATAAAGAAATGACATTATTTGCTATTGTGTTCTCACTTTCTTTCTCTATCAAACGTATATTACAGTAAATGTGGAGCAATTTACTTGTACATTTAATATACTAAACCGTCAAAATAAGCAACATAAGCAAGAATCAAACAAACAAACGAACAGAAAACAAACAAATAAGTAACAAAACAGAAAGTAGAACAAAAAACAGAAATGAAACAGTAAAAAACCTTTATAACAAAAAAAAAAGAAAGAGAACGCCGTATACAAACAAACATAAAAACAAAAAATAAGAAAAGAAATGTAGCGTGACTTTTTATGACTTCTAACTGTCGTTGAAAGCTTTAAGTTTTATTTTTTTTCTTTTCTTTTTTTTAATAGGGCGTCTGACAGAATATAACAAATGAAAACAAACATAATAAAATAAAGTTTCATTATTGCGATGTAGTTCTGTTATTTTTTCTTGTGTTTTTCTTAAATGTAAAAAAACCTTACATTTTTTCTCGATTTTTTCATTCTCCTTTTTCTTTGTATGTGAATAAGTACGCAATCCTTAAATTGGTATATTTCTGTTACAGTTATTTTAATATTACAGTTTAATAAATTGTAAGGGATATAATATGAATCTATGTATTAAAAATTTCATTATACGTGGAGTTCATGACTGATACTCTTGTAATAAAATTACGATAATTGTTGTTATAATTGTCTGATAATGTTAACTCAAAAGTACGATTTAAAGAGAGATTTCAGTTACAAGAGAATCTATTAAGAGAAGCTAGACAGTAAACTTTCAGAAAAATTAAAGAAAAGATGACTGAAATAACTGTCAAGTAACTGTTTTTTAAATATGAAAGCTTTGTTGAAGCTATTAAATCGTGTCTATTTTACATGATACCGAAAATATTTTTAAATTTTATGTGTCAGGTTGTACTAAGCCTTCCAGTATTTTCGTGTCATGGATATGTACACATAAAAATCTATATGAATCTATTTATTTTACAAAGTTATAATAAAAAAATTCTAATAAAAATATTTCATATAAAATTAGTTTTCTAAAAAAAGGTTATAGATACAACATAAAAGACAGGATAACGTGTTAAAAGATTGAGGTTAGTTTGATTGTATACAATTATAAAACAAAATGTTTGTGGAAGAATTTCATATTTTCCACTTTTTTCTTTCTCTTTCTTAAGTGGTAAAATATTTGTAAATATAAAAAATATTGTAAATGATGTGTGGAAATAAAATGAAAAAAAAAAAACAAAAATAAAATTAAATTACTTTTATTAGAATGGAACACAATGAACGTTGTATATTTGAAAGTGTAGACGTGTTTTTTTCAATTTTGTTATATTTCATGTGTGTTAAGACAAAAAAAAAGACTAAAATAAATATAAGGTTATGTAATTGATAAAATTGTTTATTCAACTCATTTCATTTTTTATACTCAGTTTGATTTGTTGGTT